ACAAACAAACAAACATACATTTCACAAGTTTATCAAAACTTTGTACTGTTGTAATGTTATATGTAACTAGAAAAAATATTCAGTAATGCCGAGCTTAAAAAAAGTGACGCTATGAATAGGGCGTGGGCCGTCCCTTTCCTTCCACTATTTTGAGCTCTAGCACCTGAACCGCTCATCGAAGGCAAAGATACCCGTGGTACGCATAGTGTTAAAGGTTACGTTCATTTACCATCATCTTCGTGCATTTTGCTACTGACCTCTGTTGAGTGTTCATTAGCGATATTAAAGCGTTATAATTGAAATATCTGCCAGACTAGGACCGTTCACCCCATTTGTTATCCATTTAAGTTCGATCTTTGGGGTCTACTCGAGTTCATCTAGCAAATATAGTCGACATTGGTTCAGTCAGTTCTTCATAACAACTTGTGAAAACAGACAGTCTTGCACTACACATATAGATAAACAACCTTTCAGATATCCCTAAATAAACTAACAGAACCTTAGACGTTTCAAAAACATAACTGTTTATATCCAGTTTTTTTAGCCGCGGCATATCGGCTCATACAATGGTTCTGAGTTTTTCTTCATGTACAAACTTTTAGCTCATAGCTCCGTCTCTTGACCGATTTGAGATCTAATTACAACCGCGACTATTGAGGATTCCATCTTGTTTTTCAAGTAAAAACTTTTAGCTCATATCTCCACTTCTTGACCGTTTTGAGATGTAATTACAGCCGCGACTATTGAGGATTTCCTCTTGTTTTTCAAGTACGATGTATTGCATACTAAGTTATCAAAACATAAAGTTCGCACTGAGTTACTAAAACACGTAGTCCGTATAAGTTACTAAAACACGTAGTCCGTCTAAGTTACTAAAACACGTAGTCCGTCTAAGTTACTAAAACACGTAGTCCGTATAAGTTAATAAAACACGTAGTCCGTCTAAGTTAATAAAACACGTAGTCCGTCTAAGTTACTAAAACACGTAGTCCGTCTAGGTTAATAAAACACGTAGTCCGTCTAAGTTAATAAAACACGTAGTCCGTCTAGGTTAATAAAACACGTAGTCCGTCTAGGTTAACAAAACACGTAGTCCACACGAAGTTTTTAAAATATAGTCTACGTTAAGTTAACATAACATGTAGCTCGTACAAAGTTAACACAACCTGTAGTAAACGTTAAGTTAACAAAACAACCAACAAAACACGTAGTTTTCATTAAGTTAACAGAATGTATAACCCACACAAAGTTAACAAAACACGAAATCTACACTAAGCTAACAAAACGTGTAGTCTACAGTAAGTTAATAATATATGCAGTCCACACTAAGTTTATAAAATATAGCTTACGCGAAGTTAACAAAACAAGTAGTCCGTACTAAGTTAACAAAACAACCAACAATATACGTACTTCACTTTAAGCTTACAGAACCCGTAGTTAACTCAGCGCACTTTATATTAGGTTTCCACGTAAATCACATTTACGTAACATAGTTCGTCTATGAAGTAAGTACCAAGTACATGAAAGAATTGTGTTTAGAATGACTTGGAACTCAGAATACACGCGGAGTTACCATCTTGAGTCCACACCATCTTATTATAATGGAGCTTACGGATCTCGAAACTACCGCACCGATCACGGAGAGTATTTTTATAACTAGACAGTATTTTTATAGCTGATCAAAAAATAAAACAATTGAAATTTCCACAAAAATGATATGTTTCAGATTTAACCAATAAAAAAACAAAAAAAGTAGTAAGTTTCAAATATAAAACAATAAAAAACAAAGTTAAAAAAATTATTTGTTTTTTTTCAGTGAAAATCTCATGAGTGTTGCAACAGAAAAGCAAAGCACTTTCATTGATAACTGTGTCTACAAAGAAATACTTCAATAAAATCTACTCTGTGATGATAGCTCATTTTTAAACTAAAATTTCAATAAAATCCTTTTTCTCGTGGATGGTGAACATTATCGAATGGCAAGTACGAGTACATTATTGTGGAACTGTCAGACTATTCCAGAAGAGGCTGTAGACCTAATAGCCTTCTGCAGGAACTAACAGTTATACCTGACCGGAGGGCGGGTTTTCCTGCTAGTAAATACTAAGTGGACTCACGATCTATTCCCCCCCCCCTTTTTTTTCGTCTGAATCACAGAGAGTCAGAGATTGCAATTCATAAATTAATACGCTATATTATTTCGACTTAATGAAGGCCATGAAAACAATATGTGTTTAAGAAGAAAAAAATGATAACATTGACAAAAGCTATTTTCTTGAAGCCGGTTACGATGATTAATTGACAAGTGCTAGAAAGTGAAGTTTTCACGAATAACTTTCAGGAGCTGTTAATTTAACGATAAAGAATCTGTAAATAATCGATAATTTCGTCATTTATTACATTTAAAACCACTTAGAATCTGCTGTAATATTTCTTTTTACTTTTGGAACTTAGAAAAAGTGTGGGAAATAAGCGTAAATATCTATAAAAAAGAAAAAAAAGATGTCTTCAAAATGCATCACGACAAAGTCCCGTAAAATGTTATTAATTAAATTATTTGTTAACTAAATTGACGGTGCAACTTTAGAGGAGCTGTTGAATTTCCGGAGTAGATTTTAATTAATATGTTTATACATTACTTTTCTTTAAGTTCCTGTTTCAGCAACTACACAATTTGTGTGACATCAATAAGGTTTTGTTAATGCTGTTGTGTTTGTTTTATTTTCGCTACGAAATCTGTTCACGTGTTTTTCGCGAGATTTCGAAAGTTGTTTTATAGGAAATGAAATAAAAGTTGACACAAAATTAAAGGTTACTTATGAAAGAAAAAAAACAAAACAAGGTCTTCTATAAGCTAGTTATGTCGAAGCTTTTGAGATGCGAGTCTATTACTTACGATTTATTACGTTTTTGGCATCAGTCTTTGTGTAAACACTTAAACAGTAAACAGAATCCATGGGTTTGTTGAAGAGATTTCTGTGTGTGTTTGTGTGTCAAGAAATTTGTCTCCAAAATGAAACAGTTGAATAAACAGAAAAACAGACTTGTAGTAACCATGAAAAGACAAAAGAAGTTTATTAATTATACAAATATGGTTCGAGAAGCTTCATTTACATTTAACGAAATTCTATGTAACAATATATATTTATGGGATGAACTAAAGTATAAGAATACACACTGCGTCACTAGCCCACAAAGCATAATATTAATTTCTGTAGTTTTGCTAATAAACAGTGGGAGTAGCAACGTATGTTTACAATAGCCCACATTAAAGCTAGCTTACATATATATGTACATATCCTCTCTGAATATGTACAGTGTGTAAGTATATCTGGTTGTGAGTTTGATCCTGATCTCTACAAACTATATTTGGTTTCACACATAATTTAAAACCAAAAATTTACTTTCGATTAGACACTTCCAAACATTACGTATTTTTGATACAACTTTTGTTTGGATCTACTCTGTTGATGATTTATAAATAGTTTCTACATTTACCGTTACCGTACGTCTAAAAAAATCTGCAGTTTTTAGCCGCGGCATAGTGGCTCATAGAACGGCTCTGAGCTTGTTTTTTTTTTTTTTACATCAAGTACAAACTTTTATCTCATAGCTCCTTCATCTATTGACCGATTTGAGGTCTAGTTACAGTTTTGGACTCAAGAGGTCAAACCCTTTCGATTGATGTAATTAACCACGCCCAAGGTCTGGTAGAGTAATTTACTCTAATCCTGCTTAAAAGAATTTCAGTTTGAGGGTAGGCTGGTAGAGATCCTGATGAATAATAAAATTGAATCGAGTATACGCGGGCCTCACGCCAGGTATTACTGGCGCACAAAAATATCGCTAATAATAATATAAAAAAAAGTATAAGATTAATTTACTCTAATCCTGCCTAAAAGAATTTCAAATGCCGCGGCTATTGAGGATTCCTTGTTGTTGTTTTTTAACTTTTTAGGAAACGAGACAAACTTGTTTCGGTGTTAAACAACTTCTGTTCAAAGGACATTATGTTTTATGGGAAGCAATGTGAACGTCGTCTCCACGTGTTTATTGTGTGTGTTTTGATTGTTTCCGCTAATGAAAGAGGTTGAAGTACTGAAACTGACGCAGCTTCCTCTGCTACCAGGGGTTCTGCTAGTATAGGTGTGTAGAACATCGCCATGTTGGGATGGTCGGTAATTCATGCAATGTCGAGGAGCGCCACCTAGTGTACGAACCATCTTCCAACGTTCCATGTGGTGACGTAGCGAGTTTCTTACCTGAAAGAAATTTTGACTTACTAACTATAAGCCACACAAAAAACTTTGAATTATTATAAGCGACACACGAAACTTAGACTTACTATAAGCGACACAAGAAACTTTGACTTACTAACTATAAGCCACACGAAACTTAGACTTACTATAAGTGACACAAAAACTTTGACTTACTATAAGCGACACAAGAAACTTTGAGTTACTATAAGCCACACGAAACTTAGACTTACTATAAGCGACACAAGAAACTTTGACTTACTAACTATAAGCCACACAAGAAATTTTGGCTTACTATAAGCCACACAAGAAACTTTGAGTTACAATAAGCCACACGAAACTTTGACTTACTATAAGTGACACAAAATACTTTGAGTTACTATAAGCGACACAAGAAACTTTGACTTACTATAAGCGACACAAGAAACTTTGACTTACTTTAAGCCACACGAAACTTTGACTTACTTTAAGCCACACAAAAAACTTTGACTTACTATAAGCGACACAAGCTTATAGTAAGTCAAAGTTTCTTGTGTCGCTTATAGTAAGTCAAAGTTTCGTGTGGCTTATAGTAAGTAAATTTTTATATGGAACATGACTTGTTACATCACTACGGAGAGGTAAGTGTATGAAACATGACTTGTTACATCACTACGTAGAGGTAAGTATATGGAACATGACTTGTTACATCACTACGGAGAGGTAAGTGTATGAAACATGACTTGTTATATCGCTGCGGAGAGGTAATTGTATGGAACATGACTTGTTACATCACTACGGAGAGGTAGGTGTATGAAACACTACTTGGTACATCACACGGTGGTGTAGTATACGGTCCATTATTTTCAATAACTATTATATATATATATATATTGTAACATTGAGTACAAGTATTCTGTTTAAATAAACTTTTCAACCTTTATCAATTTTCGTGTGGACTTACCTCTACATAGTGATGTAACAAGTCATGTTTCATACACTTAGCTCTCCGTAGTGAGTAACAAGTCATGTTTCATACACTTACTTCTCCGCAGTGATGTAACAAGTCATGTTTCATACACTTACCTCTCCGTAGTGATGTAACAAGTCATGTTTCATACACTTACCTCTCCGTTGAAGAAGCAGTATAGAATGGCTACGATAAGACCCTGTAAAATATAAAATTTCATGCTATAAGATTATCACCTTGCACACGAAAAACAGTGGCTCAAAAGGAACATTTAAGGTAGCTTTAGCATACAAAATTCACTAAATTGGTTTTATACAAACATTGAGAACTGTATGGGGGAGGGTGTATATATATATATAGGAGATATATCATAAGTTCATAACAGACAACGTGGTTTTCTTTTGTTTCAGACTTCTGTAAGTAGCAACCCAACCATGGTGTTATTTTCGAAAAAGTTGTGTAGCACACGTGTTAAAAGATGGATTTTGAATCAGTTTTTTTTTAAATGACTAAAAACATCACACAGAACAGGAAAATAACAGAAAACACGGAGATTACCATGTAAATATTTTTAGAAGTGATATAATATAGTACAATTTATTGGGTTCTGTGACAGAGCTAATCGGAGTTCCAGAATGTGGTAACTGATATCAATAGAATAGTCAGTAGAACTTTGAAGAATAGCAGTTGCCTTTGTGACCTTGTGACCTCGATCTTTTACCATCAAGTTCATATATCTCACGAAATGTTATGTGAATTCTTTTTTTATGGGAATATCAACAGAATAGTCAGTAGAACTTTGAAGAACAGCTGTTGCCTTTGTGACCTTGACCTTGTGACCTCGATCTTTTACCATCAAGTTCATATATCTCACGAAATGTTATGTGAATTTTTTTTTTATGGTACGGACCGCTGAGTAGATAATTATCTATCGCCATGTTTAATAATGTTTCAAAAACTCTAGTACCAAAAATGTGACGTGGCATATCACCGGCGACAGGTGATCTTGAACGCTATTTAAATATGCGCATAAACGTGCGCGTCCCAGAATACTAGAGTCACCTTAAAACACAAGAGAAAACTAACAACAAAATTTGAAGTGTGAAAAAAAAGTAACAAAGAAATATAAAGTTTGAAAAATGATAAGTTTTTCTGCACATATAAATATTTGAAAAATAGGATTTTTTTTGTTTATTGCCGATCAATATAAAAAGATTAGAATCGTCGTCAACTATGATATCCAACATTCATAATTAGTCGAATAAACTCCCAATAAATAACGACATCTTCAAGCAGTATGTTAAAGAAACGTTTCTATGTTCATAAAGGACATGAAACCTAAATGTTCCACAAAAACGTTATTTAAAGTAAACCTATTTCAACCATAGATAACTAAGTTGATGTAATGGAACACCATGGTTGACGGAGCATATAAGGCGTTCTGCACTCAAAGATTTGGCTCGTGATGTACCCGGTACATATGACAAGTGTTAAAAAAAATAAGGAGAATACAAATTCAATGTTCGACCTTTTAAAGACAATATTTCCCCAAAAAATCAGCATTGGTAACGCAGAAATATGCTTTTGTAAATAATTAGTTGAATTAAAAAAAAGGGTAAGAACAAAATATATGATACACACCTGGGTAGAGAGTAGAGTAGCTTGTAGATAGGTAAATACAACTCGTGCTGTTCTGTGATTGGGTGTTACAATCACGAGGATGTACGTGACACCGAGTAGAGGAATCAGTACCAGCAGTGCTTTTGCCGCTTTTCTGTTTACGAAGAAAGCATGTTATTATTTTTTTTCTTTAACAACGTAAAACTTTAATACACAATTAACTGTTTAAGAACAGTATATTTTAGTGGGTTTTTTCAGTACTTTCAAAAAAATTAATAACACAAGATTAGTGATGTGATTAAAACATCCACGGTAGAACACAGTTCAAAGTTCATTATTTAATAGTTATGAAATTACCGTTACGTATGTTCTAACTCGTTTCGTAAAATCTTGTTGGGTAAGCGTTAAAACTTTTAACTTGCAAGACACGTTAACATGATTTGAATCCAGTCTCACCTGTTTTAACCTGAGTTGCAAGACACGTTACCATGATTTGAATCCAGTCTCACCTGTTTTAACTTGAGTTGTAAGACACGTTACCATGATTTGAATCCAGTCTCACCTGTTTTAACCTGAGTTGTAAGATACGTTAACATGATTTGAATCCAGTCTCACCTGTTTTAACTTGAGTTGTAAGACACGTTACCATGATTTGAATCCAGTCTCACCTGTTTTAACCTGAGTTGCAAGACACGTTACCATGATTTGAATCCAGTCTCACCTGTTTTAACTTGAGTTGTAAGACAGTTACCATGATTTGAATCCAGTCTCACCTGTTTTAACCTGAGTTGTAAGACACGTTATCATGA